ACCGGCTTAACACTAGTGGCCTATGACTATGTGAGCCTTGGCTACCACGCCGACCGGCTTAACAATAGTGGCCTACAACTATGTGTGCCTGGGCTACCACGCCGACTGGCTTAACTCTAATTAGACGCGCACTATGTGTAATGTTAATTAACAAAATGCATATACGTTGCAATCCGATAGCTAAGACCCCAGCATCCACCTGATCAAATATCATAATTTAGTCATTTGAGATCTGCTGTCATTTTCTACACTTTATCAGTCCCAGCGGCAGAGTAACAGCTCGTTAATTCATGTTCATGCAATGATGAGATGGAAAAAGTTAGCCGATGCATGCCTTTTACTCTCTTGTGTAGATAAAAGTTATCAGGGTTACAGTGCACAAAACTCCTGGGTGTACTGTCTTGAATGAACTGAAATAAAAGCAGAATAAAAATGTTCTTTCTCCGTTTTCTGAACTACACAGCACAGCTAGAGTACACGTCACATGAGCACATTTCTCTGAACTACACTACCCATAATGCATTTCATTCAGGACTACATCAACCATAGATAGTGATCTTAAGCGATAACTCTTAATTCCCTTCTTCCCTGGTGAACCCCAGTTGAAATGCTACACAAAAATGCTTATTTCGTTTAACCTGTTTTCATGTCCGTTACTAGGCGTGTCCTCAGAGCGATTACATGCTCTAAACTGCCTTTGCTCCAGCTGTATAAACACTAGGGGTGCTCCGATTGATTGGCTACCGATCACTATCGGCCGATAATCACGTTGGGATGTTTGATCGGCGGTCTCTAAGAAGGCCGATCTCAAAAAAACGATCTCAAGCTGATGACGCTGCCATGAGAGGTTTGGTACGACATGCAGCGACACCATCTCAGTCGCTGTCCGGTGCAAGTGAAATAGTTATAATGCTGAAAGTGAGGTACTCACCTTCATATTTCTTCATTAAATAACTTATAAAGTAATTTGAAAACCTTGTGTGAGACGTAATTTCACCGCGAATCACCGCGCGCACTCTCTCTTTCTCTCTCAAAATACGCAAATGGCTTCAAATCACCACATCACGTCTGTCTATAAGCGAGCTGTACGGTGCACAGTCGACACAGGAATTGTCACTTGCACAATCGAGGCAGTGTCACATCGTCACTAAAGTTTATAAATTGCATTACTTTTTAATTCTTGCCAGTGTTTAACCATTCAGCGCTCTCCTGGAGACCGTGCGCTCATGCACACTCGCAGCGCACACACATAATGCCAGGTTCACATTACTCCG